CAATTGAGCCCAACATTTCTATAGTTAAGCAAGATTATTGTTAAGTGAATTTTGTCCCATGTTATGACCTTTCTTGCCATAGTTGTTAAGTGAATCACTTTAGTTGTTAAATTAGTAATACGGTTTTTAAGCCAATTTGGCTTCCCCATTGACTTTGTCAGAAGGTCATAAGAGATGATCATATGAGGCCAGGACACTGCAACTGTCAGAAATATGAGTCAGTTGCAAAGTGTCTGAATTTTGACCAGCTGATCATGGGGATGCTGCAATGGTCGTAGTGTGAAAATGGTGCTAAATCACTTTTTTCAGCCCCGTTGTAACTTTGAATGGTCACTAAATGAACTGTTGTAAGTCGAGGGCCACCTGCACTGTACTGCTAACCTTAGCTTGGTTCCAAGCAGAATTGAAAGTCTCCAGCATTACGAGAAAAACTAGTCAGTGTTCAGGATGGTGATACTTATTCATATGCCAACATGTCCCAACTTTTACAGCATCATTATTAAACTAATTTAAGTCCAGATTTTCTACTGTTGTAATTTTTCAGGGTTTAGCTTCCCCCTTAAAGTTTCCACCGCAGAATTAACAATCTTTGACACTTATAAAAGAATGTAGGTTTGCAAAAAAGAAATGCTAATCTCCGTGTACAGAAGAAAATTTAAAAATAATTACCCAATCATGGTTGGGAAGAGATGTTTCTCCATCTGTGACATCATGTGGGTGATTGAAAGCATAATTTTTAAAATTATGAACTGTTTTGTTCTTTCTAAGCCCTTTATTCATTTTGGCTAGGTAAATGGTGTTGTCTATGAGTTACTTGAATAGTAAGGAAATTTTTAGGAAGCTTATCTTTCTACATGGGGGTGGACTGATGATGGCCCGGGTTTTTTTAGGTGCCTAAATACTTCTTGGTCTTACAAATGGGCACAACACTGCCCATTTATTAAAGAATCACTATTTAGAGGCGATTGCAGACCTATGATGTGGGATAATGATGTGGGATAATGATCAGAGCATTAAATATCCCTGGAACCTTTTCAGAGGTGGGCTTCCAAAGTTTCAGCAATGGGTTCTCTGCCTGGTTGTTGGGTGAGCCCATGGTGGGCACGGCCTAGTTAGCCTCATGTACCATGGCAAGGGGGAGTGCTTTGCCTTCCCCAGGCTCCAGAGGCTTTCCTCGAGCCTCTGGGAGGGTGAAAACGGCTTCCCCTGGGCTCTGGAGGCTCTCCGGAGGCTGGAAATGGGTCAGTTTCTGGTCTCTGGAACTTCCGGGAGGCCCGTTTCCCGCCCCCATCGAGTTTCCGTGTGGGCCCTTCATTTATCTCGCATCCAAAATGGGTTGCGTGGAGACTACTGGGAAGGGCAGGGTGGGGCAGACGGGGTGGGATTTGGAGGTTCTCTGAACCGGCTATAACGTTAGCTAGGGGTTGTCCTGAACCTGTAGCAGCCCACCCCTGAACCTTTCTGAAAACATTTGAACAGGATTGCAAGATCTACGGGAGGAGAATCCCATCACTTTTTCTCTCTCATGTCTCATCACCATCAACTTTGCTTGTTCTGTCGCTTCAAGTCGCTTCAAGCGTATGATTAATAACACAGTAAATCATCTATGCATGAAGCGACATGAAAAGCAAAGTTGATGGTGGTGAGATTTTTGTAGACAGGTTTGTGTTATCGTACCTAGTCTGTGGATAACAGATGGTTTATCAGAGAATCAATTATTGATCAGGCTTCATTGCTGTAGCAGACCTGCAACCATTTTTTTGGATTAGTACCCTCTCTGAACAGTACTAGCTACTACTGGATTGAAATCAGTATATTCATCATATCTGTATCTAACAATAATTTTTTCTTTCCTGATGAAAGAATGAAAGTCGAGAAGACAAAAGTCAGAAGGATCAATGTTCCAATGCAGGAAGACAGCACAACATAACCCAGAGAAACAGGGGTGGGCTTCTCGCCCCGTTCCAACCGGTTTGGTTGGAACGGGGCTGGCGGCGTCCTCGTGCACATGTGCAGTGCACGCATGCGTACTAGCGCCTGTGCGATGCTCCAGCTGCTCCTGGAGGATCGCGCAGGCGCTGTATGCGTTCTGCGCAAGCGTGGAAGTGCAGAACTCGTCAAAACCGGGTAAGAAACGCGGGCGGGCGGGGGCGGGTGGATCCTTCGGCGTTCCCGGAAGTTACTTACTTCCGGGTTTGCCGACCAACCGGTTCACGGGGACCGCTGCGAACTGCCTGAAACCCACCCCTGCAGAGAAAACTTGAAGGGTGGGGAAATTTGATTTCAGACAGTGTCTGAGAAGAGCACTGAGAAAGGTCCAGAATATGTTGTCAAAGTTCAAACATTTTGATTCTAAATATGATGCCTCCAATTGCAATAAGAGGAATGGG